CGGCTGGGCCCGTGAGCCATGGCCGCTGAGCCTGCGCATCCGGAGCCTGTGCTCTGCAACGGGAGAGGCCACAACAGTGAGAGGCCCGCGTACCGCAAAAAAAAAAAAAGAAAAAAAAAAAATTCCAGTCCACAAACAAAATGTTCTTGTGTCAAAATTCCAGTAACCTCTTGGCTGGCAAGAAGTCAGATTTCCTGTGCCTCTTTGAAATCACATGGGGAAAAAACCTTATTCATCTGTGTTGAAGCTAGTTATGTGTGTCAGAAAGACCTCATCTCCACCCCTACAACCCAGTAATTTCACTTCTCTTTTTTGAAACTGCTGCAGGGTCCCCATTACGTACAGGATGAAAGTCAAGCTTCTTCATTTGACCTAAAAAACTGTTCATAATTTTTTTGAGCACTTACCACACCCTTCTCATGTTAGGGGCACGGTGGATGAGATCAAGGAGGATAGATAAATCATTACAATATAGTGAGATAATTACCATTGTAGGTGAAATGCCACGTGCTATGGGAGCATGTACCCAGGCACCTGAATGGAGCTAGGGAATCAGGGAATGCGACCCAGAAGGAGTAATCTGAGCTGAGATCAGAAGTGGGAGGACAGGCAGTTGGGGTGAAAGTGGGACATGGAACACGGAACATGTTCTGGCCAGAGAGAAAAGTCTATGTAGAGGAATGACCCAGGGGAGAAACAGAGAGTGTGGGACATTTGATGAACTAATAAGAGTTCAGTGTAGCTGGATCATAAGAGTGCAAAGCTGAGGGAGTGGCAAGAAATGAAGCTGGAAATAATGAAATGGCAGATCACGAAGGACCTATGAACTGTTTGTCATAGGTTTGGTTTGGCTGTTTTCCTAAGGGCAGTAGGAAGGCAGCAGTTTGAGCTGTCTTCAGACAGCTTCAACCAGTAGGAGCTGTTTGGAGCCTGGAGAAATAAATACAGATACACATTTTGGAGAGCTTGCTCTTGCTGGCAGGTGTTCATGGAGTTGGACAACACTTGAGGCTTGAAGACCCATTAGGAGTCTCTTGCAGTAATCAATGTTGAGAGAGAACAGTTGCTGAAAGAGTGGCAGTGCAGAAGATGGAAGATGTCAAGATTGATCTCTTGGTTTTTAGAATGGGAACTGGAGGGATCGAGGTACCTGCCCTTCACTGCGATAAGAAGCATAGCAAGAGGCTTAGATATAGCAGAAAATGCTCTGTGTTCTGGTTTTAATCTAAATTTGAGGTGTCTGTGGAATGTCCAAGAGACAACTGAGAATAAAACTTAGGAAAAAGATCTGAAGATATACTTTCGGAAGTGATTAGCAAAGTTGAAGATGTGAGTGTAGGTGAGGTCAGCCTAGGAGAGTGTGTCCATTGGCAAGGGAGCAGGACTCAGAACAGAACCCTTCAGGATGCCAGCACTAAGGGGCCAAAGATAGTCGAGCCCACAAAGGTGACTGAGAAGGAACAGCCAGGGGAGGGCATGGAAAACAAGAAAAGTCATGTCTTAGAAGCCAAGGGAAGAGAATTTCAAGAGGGGAGTAGTGGTCAAAAATGCCTAATGCTGCAGAGGAGTCAGAAGGTAAGAACTAAGCTATGTCTTTTGGATTTAAAACCAAGGAGGTAATAGTTGGTGACTTTGACAAAAAGCAGTTTCATTAAAGTGGTAGCTTCAAAATATAGCTACCAGTGTTCAATGAATGAATTGGGGGTGAGTAAGTGGAGCTAGTAAAGGTGGGCAAACAACTCGAATTTGGTTTTGGAGAATAAAAATGAGATGGAAGGCTGGAAGAAGAGGTGAGGGTGGGGAGAGAGAGCCTGTAACGTTTTGGGTGAGGCCAGCGGGAACGGTGGAACAGAAGGTACAGAAGATAAGGGAATAGGAGAGGGATTAAGCGGGAGGCTGGATCCCCGAGAATTGTCCGGGAATGTGGGGGTAGGGATAGAATCGGTCTTAGGTGGTCGGGCAGCAGAAAAGAATAGGATGTGTGCATATAGAATGTAGACTCACTGGAGGTAAATTCTGGCATTGCTCATTTGATTATTTCTCTGCAGCAGGAGGGAGCACCCCCTAGAAGTGAAGGAGGGAAGACTTAGAGGAATACGGAGAAGGTCTGAAGTAGCAACTATAGAGACTAGGAAAAAAGCCAACTGAAGAACTGCAGTAGGATGGCTGTCTGGTATTGAAAGCCCTGGTGGGGTCTGGCACCAGGCTGCAGTGAGGGCAGGTTTTCTCCAGCAATACTCCCAGCCTGGGTTTAGATTCATCAGGTAGGCAGTCAGATCTTCCAAGGCTGGAACTCTGTCAGACTGGGATGATTAAGGATGATGAGGCCTGCCCCTTGGGTCTAACTCCTTCTGGAATGCCAGGTCCCTTCACATGTGTGTTTGCCCTCACTCGTCCCTTTCTCATTCACTCCCTCCCAGCCCGAATGTGTACATGCACACACACAGCTTTCCATGTCAGACTCCCGTCATCCTTCAAGGTCCAGCTCATGTGTCACTCCTGTGATGCTTTCAGCCAGAGTTACTCCTCCTGTCCTTCCGCAGCCCATTGCTCATAGGTCTGTAGTGTATCGCTCAGCACTTTACTTGTTTGCATGTTTGTCTTCCCACAGTTCATAAGCTTCTTGTTTGAAACCGTTGATTAAAAATATTCAAGCCTATTAGGCTCTCCCTCCCTTGGCTCTTCATATCAACTCTTTTTCTGTCTCTGGCCAGTCTTTCTGAGTATACTTTGCTTGTCCCTTTTCTCATGGTGTTCCCTAGTTTATCCTTGGCTCTCTTTTCTTCTCATCTATTACATCTTCCTTGGACGAGCTCATCGGCTTTCGAGGTTTCTGCTGCTGACTCCCACCTCTGTCTCCTCCACACACCTTTCTTCCAGGCTGCTGTTCTAGAGCACATAGATGCCCCACAGGCATGACTGGGTCTCCACGAGGCAGAGATGGTGTGACACTGGCATTCTGGCCAAGGCGTCAGAGAATATCAATTCCCGTCCTCCTCACCTAACCATCTGTGCCCAAGAGGCCCCCACCCCCATGAGATATGCGCACAGACGAAGCATAGCTAGGAAATGTGTATTTTCTTAGTGAGGCTATGGTCTCTTGCCCAATATGGAGGGCCAGAGAGAAGGTTTAAATTTCACTGGGGATTTAATCCTTTCCCGACTAGGCCTGAATATCTTGAACTGAAGCAGCCCTCTTTTAGGCCTATTCTGCATCTTTCCACTAATCCCAACCTTGAATCTCAGCTCTTGACAACTCCTGTGGGAGAAGAGGCCACACCTACCAGCACCAGAGGAAAAGGAGCTAAAGGGGCACGCAGAGAGAGAAAGGTCTGCTTCCAGATCTAGAGTAGAGTGGGCTTGAGTGAGCCACTCAGACTGAGCCACTGAGGAGAATGAGAGGGCAAATCCCTTTAGAAGGTGTCTCTAGACCTGTAGTGGAAGAGGAAGAAAAGAATAAGGGATGGAGAAGGAGGAAGAAATGGGTTGGCTTGTTGCAAGCTCCTAGTGTACTTGTTAACACTTGGGACATGGAAAGAAAAGATAACTGGAGAGAGAGGTGACTGGACTGTTATCCCTATTTCTTTTTTGTTTTTTAGATGTTGGGGGTAGGAGTTTATTAATTAATTAATTTATTTTTGCTGTGTTGGGTCTTCATTTCTATGCGAGGGCTTTCTCTAGTTGTGGCGAGCGGGGGCCACTCTTCATCGCGGTGCGCGGGCCTCTCACTATCGTGGCCTCTCTTGTTGCGGAGCACAGGCTCCAGACGCGCAGGCTCAGTAGTTGTGGCTCACGGGCCTAGTTGCTCTGTGGCACGTGGGATCCTCCCAGACCAGGGCTCGAACCCGTGTCCCCTGCATTAGCAGGCAGATTCTCAACCACTGCACCACCAGGGAAGCCCT